CCAAGAACACAAGTTTAGACTGAGTAAAGAGAGCTGCCTGCTTTGTAGAGGTTAGTCTTCGTTTCACCCCTCGGGTTCTTTGGTATCCAAAGCGTTTTAGCACCTTTTTATAATCTTGGCACAAATACTGCTTGCTTCCAACAGAGTGATGATGGTGGCAAAGAAATTCCTGGATGCTGGACACAAACTCAACTTTGCTGTGGCTAGCCGTAAAACGTTCAGCCATGAACTTTCTGATTTTGGCTTGGAAAGCACTGCTGGAGAGACCCCTGTTGTTGCCATCAGAACTGCTAAAGGAGAGAAGTTTGTCATGCAGGAGGAGTTCTCGTGAGTTGCAAATTACTTAGGTTTGAGATTTCGATTCTTCAGAGAGACTGTTAGAACCTTCTACACGGCTGAGGATTTCCAAAGAGCACTGGAATGTAAAGATCGATCTTTTAGTCAAGACCTGTTAATTTTAGGAACTTCAAAGCCTGTGCTCTTTAATGAGTTTCTGACAGCTAACGAAAGGATCTCATCTTGCAATTCTTGATTGTTTCTGACCCATCATTAGAAGTAGCAGATAGAGAATATTAGCTTTTAGAAGCTCGTGTAATTTCAGACCACCACACCCCCCTCCCATCCCTACAGAAGGAAAACCATAGTATAAAGGTATTAGTGTCAGTAAATAGAAGGAAGGAGAGATATTAAGACCATAGAGAGAGATGTTTTACTCAACTTCTGCAACATCAAGGGGGATCAAGGCAGAAATGGAAATCTTCCTTGTGAGTCAGTCAGGAAAAGAAAATAGTTGATCAGGCACATTCTCCAGAGCAAGAGATTCTTACCTTCCATTTTCTTCTGATTGTTTCTCCCCATTAACATAAGATCGCTGCCCCCTAAATTTCTTATCTCGTATTTTGAGTTGCTGTTGTCAATTTGATCTCATCATTCCCTACCTTTCTAATCTACAAAGAATATACTAGCAATAGAGGTGATTTATTTATTGGTCAGTAGATCTGGTCAAGAGCCTTCCCTCTGAATCCCAACTTCCTATCTGTCTTGAAATTGAAGCTAAACTCTGTAAAAATATTTTAAGGTACTGCTTTTAATCTCACTTTTAATTCACCTCTCCATTGTGAAAATAAATGAACAAAGCTGATCCTTATCTTTCCATCTATAGGCGTGACGGCAAGGCTCTTGAAAGATTCCTGCAGGATTACTTTGATGGCAACTTGAAAAAATACTTGAAGTCTGAGCCTGTCCCAGAAAGCAACGACGGGCCGGTGAAGGTGAAGTGCTCACAGCGTCATCACACCTACGAGTGGCTACACCTTATTTCTTTATTCCCTAACAGTGCTGAGTCTAAACTCGTGCTTCCCACCGCCCCTCGGCGGAGCTGGGATGATTTAAGGATGCTGCAAACACAGATATCTACGTTTTATCCTAGATTATGGGCTGTAGTTCAAAAGTTTTTAATTGCAAAAGGGGCGCTGAGTAATTTTCTTTTTCTTCCCCTGAAAAGTGGGTAGTAGGTCATAAGTTTGGGAACCTGTGGTCTAAATGATGACCTTATTAACTATCTTTTTTGTTGTTTGTTAAATCTTGTCACCTCCCTGAGTCATAAAGAAATGTTGGCAAGCCTCATAATATTTAATAGGTGTATAAAACCTTCATAGGATTTTATGTGTGAGTTAAATTACCCTTTGGGGTAGGACAAGCTAACCCTAAAAATTAGAGGTTAAAAGATGGTTATGAGATTATTTTAAAGAAAAATTGTGCAGCACTTATATTTTCTATGACTTACTAAGGCATAGCTAGATGTTTAACAGACATGAAAGTGAATTAGTTTCGGGGGAATGCCAACATTTTATATGTAGTCTTTGGATGGGAGTGGATTTCTATGACTTATTTTCAGTAGCAGCATGACAAATTTGAGACGGATTAGGCCGAGAGATAAATAAGCTCATGAATTTACCTTCAGGATGCCTTACCAACTAGAGAATCTTCTGTGTTTTCTAGGTAGTGGTAGCAGAGAATTTTGATGAAATCGTAAACAATGAAGGTAAAGATGTGCTGATTGAATTTTATGCCCCTTGGTGTGGCCACTGTAAAAATCTGGAGCCTAAGTATAAAGAACTGGGAGAAAAGGTGAGTGAACCCTAGTCATCTTTTAACCCTGTTCTGAAGACTAGGATCCCTGGTGGTATAGTGGTTCTGCTGTGTGCTGCTCACTGAAGGGTCAGCAGTTCACCACCAGCCATCCCCCAGGGAGACAAGGTTTTCTCCTCCTGTAAAGAGTTAGAGTCTTGGAAACTCACAGGGACAGTTGCACACCCTGTTCTGTTGGGTTGCTGTAAGTTAGAATTGACTGGATGTCAGTGAGTTTGGCCTGTGTGAGTATTCTGAAGATTAAATGTAGAAGTTAATCTCAATTCAGTACATCCAGGGGGTTCTGAATTTTGGTATATGAATCCATTATTCAATTTAAAACATCCAGTTTAACGTTTATAATTTCTTATTCGCACTGAGTCAATTTAGAGATGGCAGAATGTAGAGTCTTAATTGTAGGAGCCAAGAGCTATTTTACATCCTGATGTGATTACCTTATTTTAATGTAAATGACATGTTATTAGGACCCCTTGCATGTTAATGTCTGGTGTGCTATATGTGAAAATATGGTAAAGGGCCCTTGGTCACTGAAAATTTGATATTTAAAGATCTGTTTTATTAACAGCTCAGCAAAGACCCAAATATTATCATAGCTAAGATGGATGCTACAGCCAATGATGTGCCTTCTCCATATGAAGTCAGAGGGTAAGTAGATTAAAAACTGAGTAGGCCGTTTAGGCATTAGGCAGGGAAAAAGTAAACTACCAAGAAACAATTTCTTTACTGCTCATGGTTCTGGAGGTTTTCATACTCCAATTAATGATAAAACTGCTAATACTTTTTGCAGTGTAGCCAACAACTTTGTGAGCTCTCTATTCCTGAGTTTTGGGGGGTATCATTTAGCCATTAATGGAGGTGTAGCACTTGATAAGAAATCATGAATGCAAAAAAAAAGAAAGAAATCATGAATGCTAGCTTATTCCCATAAGCACTTTTCCAGGAAATATATGTCAGAATTACTTTAGAAACTGAAGTTAATGAACTCTTTTTCTCTCCCTAGTTTCCCTACCATCTACTTCTCTCCAGCTAACAAGAAGCTAAATCCAAAGAAATATGAGGTAAGTGCATTGTTCTATCTCTCTATAAATATATATACAAACTCTGACATAATGGAGTTTTTCGGTTGAGTTTATTTACTGGGAATTGTTTCAATATATATTGTCATTATTGAGTATTTATAAACTCAAAAGTCTTCCAAGTGGGGGAGGAAATCCAAGGTTCTAGAAAATACACACTTTTCAGAGAAATCTTTCTGTTTTCAGGGTGGCCGTGAATTAAATGATTTTATTAGCTACCTACAGCGAGAGGCTACAAACCCCCCTGTAATTCAAGAAGAAAAACCCAAGAAGAAGAAGAAGGCACAGGAGGACCTCTAAAGCAGCAGCCAAGCCTAATAATTTGTAAAAGGACTCTTCACCAGAGATGGGAAAACCTATGGGGAGGACTGGGACCCACGTGGGGATTATTCTGAAAGGACAGAATGGCTGTAATCTGAATCCTGTTCATTTTTCTCTAAACTGTTCTTAGCTGCACTGTTTATGGAAACACCAGGACCAGTTTGTTTGTGGTTGGGGGGAAATTATTTGTGGGGGGGGATTGGGGGGATTAAGTTGGGGGTTGTTTTCTAATTTTTTTTTTTACATGTGAAACCGTAACAATAAATGAGCCCCCTTTAAACTGCCTTTTTCCATGGGCTAAAGACCCAAAAGTTCTCTTGCCCAACACTGTCCAGATTTTCTACAGTGATCGAAGTATTCTGCCATCTGCTCTGTCCAATACATGCAGCTATTGAGCATTTGAAATGTGGTTGGGAACATTTTACATTTTTATCAATTTACATCTAAATAGCCATATGTAAGGCTAGTGTCTACCATATTGGTCAGTGATGCTCTAGACCAGTAGTTCTCAACCTTCCTAATGCTGCGACCCTTTCATACAGCTCCTCATGTTGTGGTAACCCTCCCTCCCTCCCCCCAACCATAAAATTATTTTCGTTGCTACTTCATCACTGTAATTTTGCTACTGTTATGAATCGGGCGACCCCAAAGGGGTGGTGGCCCACAGGTTGAGAACCGCTGCTCTAGACCAAATAATTGGACTCAAAGCTGTCACCTGTGATTACAAGTTTGTCTTCTCTTTCTACCCTTAAGTATTTATTGCCCAAGCCTCTGGCCTAATGATTACAACAGGTGAGAGACTTCTTGTTGGCTCTTTCTGGCCCTGCCCATGCCCAAAGGATAGGTTGCTATTTATCCTTTTGGTGCAGCTGAGCTTACTGCATGTTTATACCTCCCAAGGGCTGTTGCCTGCCTCTAAATGCCCTGCATATGGGTGTGGCATCAGGCTGAGGTTCCATCTAAAATATTCTCAAAATTGCTGACATTACTGGGTGCCTCTGTCTTCCCCCAAAGCCTCGGGTGTGGCCATAACTTTCCCTCTCCAATAGAACCAGGAAAGACAGTAACATCCACTTTCTTCAACATAGACTTATATACCTTTTTTTGTGTGTTTGTGTGAGTAAAGCCAAATCCTATCAAATTTTTCAGTCATTAGATAATTGCAGATAGGAGAGCCCTAATTGTAGGTGGTGGTTCATTATAAGATGGATTTGGTAGGGCCTTTATAGGAAAAACATACCAATATCATTCATAGTGCTTTGAGAAGGTGCCTATACCATAATCCTGGAGGTTCTATTACACAAGTCTTAAATGGGATTTGGCCCCCTAGAAAGCCCCCAAGTGGTTCAAATAATATAGCCAGGCATAAGAACCACAACCTAGAAGGATTTAAAAAGAGCATGTAAACTTGTATAAAGGACACAGAAGCACTCAGTTTTACAGGCATGTTTGTAAAAAAAATTTTACTTTGGGTACATGCTAATAACCAAGCCCTTTCCCTTCAATGAGATAGTGCCCATTACATTCAGCTGTGGTACAAGGTCCTTTAGCTTGTTACTAGTAGCTGCCATCGACGTTTCCTTAGGAAGACCACCAGGCCAAATTCACTTTGTCTGAAATCCCGAAGGTACCTTGTCCTGGTGATGGTGTCATTTCTCAGGATGTGAGTTTGATTGGACTCAAACTAAACATGAAGAAGCCAATTATCTGACACTTCTGGGCACAGCTGTGAGTCTTGGCACTTTGCCTAACCCTAAAAATTAAAATGTGGCGACAATAAAAAATCAACCCTCAAGCACCTAGAGCAGCTCTGCTACGTGCCAACTCCGGCGGTCAACAACAAGAAAAGCAGGCAGTTGCACTCTACTAAGTTCATGGCTGCTTTGTTCCTTCATATCTCCTTGGGCAGAGGATCAGGAGCCCATGGACGGCTTTAGCTGCCCGTTCTTTTCTTCAAACTCGAGGATGAGACCTTTGATATGGGATAATTTCTGGTGCAGGTATTCACAGCGATGTTTGTCTTCTCTGTAACCTGGGTACCGCTGCCAAGAAAAAGCATCCATGTCAAAAAAATAAAAGTCATCATTTTTACCTTTTCTTGCTACCTCCCCCAGGCCTTGTCTTACCTTCCTGAACTTCTTATATTCCTTGACTATCTTGACTTCCAACATCTGAAACAAAGAAAATGCCAGTTCAACACGGAAACATAACCTCCGGTTCACTTGAGAGAACTCATTTCCCTTCTCATTCTCTACTATGCGACACAGACATTCTCAAAATTGCACGCGGTTGTTGCCTTGCGAACTCCCTGAAGAAACCGGTTACTAAACAGCTAAACCAAACTCATTGAGATCCAGTCAATTCTAACTCAGAGTGACCCTATTTAGGGTTTCCAAGGATGTAAATCTTTTTGAGAGCAGATTGCCTTATTTCGCCTTCCAAGGGGGGGCTGGTGGACTTGACCTGCCAATATCAACATCGGGGCTAGCAGTCCAATGCTTAATCCATAGCACTACTAAGGCTCCTTCTAGGCAGGTATGGAGTTAGGTCCATACTAGACTTCTCACCTTCCATGTGGAAGACCCAGGTTCTATTCCCAGACAGTACTTCATAAGTACAGCCACCACCATCTATCAGTGGAAGCTTCTATGTATGCTATCGTGCCGAACAGATTTCCACAGCTAACAGACAAGAAAAGTATGCCAATCTACTGAGAAATGGGCCAGGAAAAAGCTCTGTAGAACTTCCCGTTCTGTACAGAGTCACTAAGAGTTGGCAGACCAACCCGATGGCAGCTGACGGCAGTGATGGCCAGTAGAGCTGAAAGCTGCCTACCCCAATCTTTACCTTGTGTTCTGGAGTACCTCGCTGAACCCTCTTGATTTCAGCTCCCAACTCTATGAACCTTTGGCTTGCAGCTCCAACTTGAGCGTGTAGGACGCGATATTCAGCATAATCTGCCTCAAAGTCCTGTTCATAAGCATGTTGCTGTTCTGCACTGTGGATGGTCCTATATTGCCTGCCAAAAAAAACACAGAAACTTGTGTTTTTGAGACTCAGTAAGTCTCTGAGTCTCACTTAGATAATTCCAGATAGGAGAGTCACTGAGACTCAGTGCATAGGCCTTGGTAGAGCTGCCCTTCTGGGTTTCTAAGACTAATGTTTTATAAGCGTGGAAAGGGTGGTTTTGAACTACTGACCTAATGGTTCACTCAATGTGTAACAACCACTAGGTCACTAAGGGCTGCAATTAAATTGCCTGCCAGGGCCAGAGAATGACCCTTAAGTTCAGTGTTCCCCCAGGGAGTTTAATCTTAATGTAAGGGGAGGAGAGCTAGAGCCGTATGCACAAGGACTGAGGAAACTGGAAATGGTAGACTCACAGGAGGTAATCCGGTACCTCTTCTGGGCTTGGTGATTCAGAGTCTAGGAAGGAAGCAGAAGACCCAAAGGTGGTTTTAGCTTCGTGTTCCATCAAAGTTTGACCCCTCTTTCCTTAACTCACCTGCTTGAGCTGTGGGACTGTCCTCCAGCCTGGGGCCCAGGTCTTCATTTTCTTGTTCCCATTCTTCCTCTTGTAGGTCCTGACCTGGGAGCCCTTGGAGTGGACTTTGAGCTAGAGGCAGAGCTCTGAGCCTCTTTTCTTCTGGTTCTGTAGTGGCTGTAGATGATGGGCGTTTCTGTTGGGGAAAATATTTATCACACAGCCTGTATCCTATTCTGCCCTTCCTCTCAACCGTAACCTCCCATATAATGCGTTCCCAGAGCTACAAAATGAAGGCTTTTATCCAGGGTTTTTAAATCCAGGGTTCTCTGAAAAGTCCTGCTATTACAACTTACCTTGTCCAGATGTTTCTGGCTGGCAGAGGAAGGCAGTCTCTGATCAGGATCTCTGTTTGGAAGATGAGTCTGGTTCCTAGGATTTGCAAAGAAAGAGGGAAAAGCCCTGGGTGGGGGTGGGGCTGGCTCTCTCATTACAGCATTTTAGGGTGGAGAATTGGAAAGGTAGACAATACCAGGGCCTCTATAGAGTTACCCCACCCTGCCCCCAAGTACCTCACTTCCCACTGTGCCATGTGTTCCCTGGAGGATCCTGGGAGTGACTGTCCTTGGTTGCTTGCCAGGTGATCTGGCACCTGGCGGGGAAAGTGGTAGAGGCACTTGGCTTGCTGAGCATCAGGCTTTGCCCCACCTTATCCCCAACTTCTTGCAGTTTCTGGCCTTACCTCTTCTAGTGCCACCTGTGGCTGTGACACGGGGTCTTCTTCAGAATCATCTCCAGTGTTCTGCCAAGTGCCTGGATCTCTGGCTGCTTCAGTCAGGATGTGCCTCTGAACTAGGGATGGGGCTGGGATAGAATCCATGGCTGCCCAAATGGTGAGGCGTTCCCTGAGTGGGCCCAGGCAGTGGAGGCGGTCAGGCCCCGATCTAGAAAAGGGCGGTGGAAAAAAACGGGAGGGTGGAGGGCTTTCCAACCCTTATCTCCCCAAACCGCCTCCACGCATCCCAACCCAAACACCTTTTTTTACCTGCCCAACCTTTGGGACACAAGATCCAGGCCACCACCAAGACTCTCCTGGCCGCACTGGGACACTATGAAGGAGAAGACGCAAGACCAGCCAGGACCTGGGAGCCTTAGGTACTGGGGGTGGGGGGCAGGATGGAAGGAGACAGTAAGCCCCATGAAGTCCGTCCCTCCCCCATCTGCCTACACCACTTCACCCCCAGCCAGCCCAGAACAGAAGACGCGTCCCACGGGGCTCGTTAGCACGCCAGGTGCAGCTGGGCCCGAGTTCCCCCAGGAGACTCAGACGGCACAGGCTCCCCAACCACATCCTCCTGGGGCCGCCAGCCCCGAAGCCCCTCCGTTCTCGGAACTGCCTCGGACCGTGACTGCTTCCATCCGCTGGGCCCGGGCCCGGACTGCCTCTGCCCGAGCCTCCATCAGTGGTCCCCTCACCTCCCGCCCCCACCGCGGGCGCGCACTCACCCCGCGGCTGCCCTGGAAGGCGATCAGCGGCCGCACCTGCGGGGAACACACGGACACGCGCTGAGCTCCAGTGAAGACTCGACGTCGGGGCTCGGGAGCACCTGCCCTTCAGGGTGCGCTTGGCGAGGCTGGCGCCTGCGGATGCCACCCCCCTCCCGAGTCCCTGTG